CATTCTCCCCTTGCTGGGAAGGAAAGAAAGGTTCTAAACCCAGGACATTTGATCTCATAGCTTGAAGTCCCCAGCACCCTGCACAGGGCAGGCACAGCCGATGTCGTGAGCCTCAAGCCAGCCACTTTCAGAGATAATGGGGTGGGGTCGGGGGGGGCAGTTTGGCCCAGAAACTGAAGAAGAAAGAAAGGAAACAGGCTCCACCAGAGGGTTTCAGGGAAGGTGCAGTCTTCCCTCACTCCTGCACTGAGACAAGACCTACTGATTGAAAATGCAGTCTCTTCTCTGCCTTCTCCTCGCCTCTGAACAGTTCCTGGACAGGAGCCTTCGTCTCTTGCCTAGACTGCTGGAACAGCGGCCCGGCAGGATCGATCTCTGCCTCGTGCCCCTCTGTTTCGTGCTGCAGCCAGACTGGCCTACTGCACGCTAATCTACAGCCCAAAAGCCTCCCGTAGCTCCTCCTGGCCTTCAGAGTCGAGTCCCAACTCCTCACCACGGCCCACGAAGCCCCGCGTGAGCTGGTTACGGCCTCGCACCCTCTGCCTGGGACTCTGACACAAAGTGCACATAAAAGGAGTAAGAGGCCAAAGATTCGAGCAAACAGAAGCCAGGAGACAGGTGGAGGCAGTGCTAGTGGTTCAGAGTGGGGGCTGGCAAGGCCAAGAAAGCAAGAAGATACACGAGGAGACACAGATGGAAAGACCAACGGGCTCCTGGCAACAAGGAGGCAGGTCTGGAACCACTGCTGAGGGGGGCGGCATCAGTCGGGAGCTGTCCTAGCCCCGGGACGGGCCCCCCACCCTGAACCCCATTCCAGGCTACCCGGGGGGCCCCGCTGTAAGGCCGTTCCTGGTTTTCCAAGTCTCTCTTAAATTCCTGCAGTAACTTCTCATCGCTTGAGGTGGCCTGAGTGAGCAACACGCGTGCAATCATACAGAAGGGGATTCAAGCCACGGACGGGGATGTCAAGCTCCTGGAGAACGTGGACAGTGAGAAGACCGTCCAGGACAGAGCCCTAGCGAGTGTTGACTCTTTTGGGGTGGACTGAAATCAAGGACGCTGAGGAAGAGAACGAGAGAGACCAGCAAGTGAAGTGAGAGGAACACCAGAGATTACGGACTCGCAAGTCTGAGCAGGAAAAGTTTCAAAGAGGAAGGAGTGATCAACATAAAAAGCGTTTCTGAGAGGTCAGGAAGGATGAGGCTTACACGTGTCCACTGGATTTGGCAGCCTTGAGCTGAGTCACTGGTGACCTTAGTGGGAGTCATGGGGGAAGGGGGAAGCCAGGCTGTGAGGGAGTGAGGAGGGCAGAGAGGACAAGCCCGCAGGAGTTGCCGGAGTCCCCGCTGCAGCCTCTTTTCCCACGGGACGAGGGGGGCGGAGAGGGGGCCAGGGCTCTGGGTTGGAGGAGGGCGTGTGAAAGGTGATGAGCAGGAAGGAGGGCTGGCTGAGATGGGAACCCCTACATTTACAGAACTAGGAATCTGCACAGAGGGGAGGCGTCCTCCAACACCCCCTCCACCCCAGCCCCCCACGTGGGAGCAGAGAAGCTGCTCAAAGCGCTGGCCCAAGATGTGCAGGTCCCAGGCTGGTGTCAGTGGAAGGCTGGTGGTGGCAGTGGAGGGGACTGTAAGAGGGGTTCACAGGGGCTCTGGATGTGAAGGCAGAGATGCTGTCAGAAGAGGCTGACTGCCAGCCCCGACACCCGGAATGCTTCTTGAACATGAAGGCACCTGGACATATGGATCACCTGGGAAGCCATTCTGGGTGATCAAGAGCATCAGTGCTTCAGGTCTTCCTTCACAGGGGAGGGCAGAGGGGTACAGGGACTGTCCCGGCACAGAGAGGCAATGTCTCAGGGAGGTTTGAGGGGGCACGGAAGTCTTCTGGGGGAAGACAGGGCTTTCGATGGAGAAGATGGCTCTGAGCTAGTGCCAGGATTAGCATATGGCATTTGGGAATAGCAAGGGTGAGGCAGGTGCAGGAAAAGGGCAGGGAGAGGGCCAGGGAGGGAACGTTTGGGGCGCGAAGGCTGGGGAAGGAGGTGCTAGGTTCAGGGGCACAGAGGCTGCGTGGTGATCAGAGACCTGAAGGCAGGGATGGACCTCCAGTGACCCAACTTGGCGAACTCTGGGCAGCTGGGCCAGCCACTGGCTCACCCCTTTCCATTGGTTTGTGCTGGGAGCGCCCCTCCCTCGGCCCCGCCCAGGGATGCCCCCCGCCCAGCCCGGCACCTCTTTGATGGCTGCCATGCGCACGGTCTCATAGTAGTGCAGGGGTGCATTGGGCGTGCTCATGTCGTAGCCAAAGCCTGCGACTGCCACCTCGTCACAGCCGTGTAGTGCCATGGTCACTGCCACACTGCCAAGGGTTGGGATGTTCTGGAGGGGACGGACGAGGTGCAGAATTCAGCTGGAGAACTGAGCCAGGCTGAGACCCTCAGCCGCACTCACCGGAGCTGAGCTCCATTTCCGAGGACTAGGCCCCCTGCCCCTCACCCTGCCACCCTGTCCTCCCCGCCCAAGGCATCTCTGACCCTGCTCCCCGTGCCCTCTCCCAGGGCCCTGCTATCTCACCCCGCGGCCCATGAGGCCATTGTTGAAGGGCAGTCCGATGAGGGTGAAGGCGGCCTCCTGGATGAAGTATGGGTTGAGGATGCGAATCTCAGGGGGCTCCTTGGGCACCCGCGTGGCCACAGATTTCCAGAAGCCATCTGATGCACTCTGCAGACACAGCGTAAGTGGGCGTGAGCTGGGCACACAGCTCGCCACGGGACCATGTGTGTGTGGCAGGGCCCCAAGTGTGTACAGGCAGACGAAACAAGTGGGGCATGATGTATATACTGGTGAACCCGGGGCATGGGGAATAAACACCATGGCAGAGGGATGAGCTGGTGTGTTGGGGTCAGGGGTCGGGGGGGACGACACAGGATGTATGATAGAGACAACAGTATGTGGTGGAGGACAGTGAGCACATGGCGGGGCCACAGAGTATAAGGGAGGACACAGACTGAATTGCAGGGCAGGGGCCCACAGGGTGGTGCCCTGAGGTGTGCTGTTCTGGTCTGAGGAGATTCTTGGATCAGCAGGAGGACCGAGCAGCCCAGCTGTCCCCTCCCCTTTGCAGTTAACTGAGGGGCCCGCGAGGAGCCTGCCCTCTCTCTCCTATCTGCTCTGCTGGGCTCGCCTCCTTTCCCTTCTGCTGTCTCTCCTTGCTTTCAGTCAACTGTTCTAAAGTGAACCTGAAAAATAAGGACAGAACGTGAGCTAGTAAGGCACAGCGGAACACAGTAAGCCACTGATTAGCAGTGGGTGACTTTAGGCAAGTGACAAGCTCTCAGAGCTTTAGAGTCTTTATTATTATTTTTTTTAAGATTATTTATTTATTTATTTATTTGAAAGAGA